CACTACTGCAGAAAAAACAGTTTATACCGTTGGAAAGTAAGTCAGCTACAAACGAATACGAAAGAGCTAAATGATCACACTATTTGCATAGGTTTACCGTACAACGGACTTACGTGTATTGTTCGGCTTTGTTGTGTATCGTTTGCCAAAAAGTGAATCGCATATCCGATAAGCGCACCGTGGGCCATACGAAGTTCCAAAGGCCTCCAAGCGAGACGTACAACGTTAAATTTTGCTGCAGAACGATCCGAAATCGATTCGTTTCCAATACCAACAACATCAAACAGCCACTGTGCACTCAAAAGATAAGGAGAATGACTTGGCGAAGAGTCCAAAGTTAGAGCCAGAGTAGAGCGACTTGTTCTACTCCACAAGCGCCCGTACACAAAGTCGTCTCGAAAAGCCTCGACATCAACTTCGTAGCATGTGAAAGGAAGAAGACCGCCCCCAACGGCTTTTGTTGTTGGATTGACCGATGAAATGGAGCGGCCAACGATCACTGTTCGTGCTTCCGGAGCACGAAACGAATGACCATATTGGCTTCCGGGAAAATTCGCAACAGTATTAGACATCCGAATGATTTGCTGAATTAAAGAATCCGAAGACAGACTACAATGAACAGGTGACATATATGCATCAGAGGGCGGAACAGTACCGTCCAATTCTAATGGAGCTTTGGCACGATCTTGATACGGAAAGGAAGATAGCTGATCCAACGATCCTGACGTAGCCGTCACCAAGCATCGAGTCATTGGGACTGGTTTGATATTCATGCGAAAGCCGTCGATTTGATTCAGTATGTTACCAGCCGAACGTGTTGTCCAGCTCGTCAAAATTTCCGTAGATGTCAGACTACGAACTTTTATGTCGGAAAAGCTTATTGATTGAAAGCTTGTTGACATTTCTTGATAATCTACAGCGGTGTTGCTGTTGACTAAAGAATGTGTACGATCTGTCCTTTGATCGAATCCTGAGTTGTTATTTAATCCGCCAATAAACATGGCCGTGTTAGGCTTTTTTAGTGTGTACAAGATCTGTGGATAAATCAATCCGGAACTTGTTCCTATTCGATTGGTCTTTCTCACTTCAACCCAATAACCAGTATTTGGTAGGAGATTAGATATTCGCGCTTGTGTGTTCCGTAAAATATCAGGTGAATGCATCCAAACGTCTAACTTCGGTGACATTTTTCCTTGTCTATTAGTCAAATCATCAGGTTGATCACGTTTTTCACTAGCATCAGCGGAATAACCGGATATAACAGGAAGGTAAAATAACTTATAAACAGCAGCTGAAGGATCGCTGTCAGTATCATCGATCCATTGAAAACTCATCCAAGTGTCACCAATGCCTGTAACAGTAAAGGATGTTGGAGGTTGCGGCAGAGAAGAGGATTCCAAGAGTCTGTAATCTGGATTTTTATTATCCGCATCAACTAGAACTTCGAAGTTCCAAGTAGAATACCTCCGACTGATGTGATTAAACACAGTGCATGTGTAATTACCTTTATCGGTGGATCCAAAATCATGAATAAGCAGGGAGCCAGTACGCTCGATTTGGGTCTTGTTTGAGTCGGGGAAACGTGTACGTAATGATTTCCCATCGACTAGCCACAAAATGGAAGCTTTGTCATTTCTGATAGATGTAGGCTGTCCGACTTTAGAACGAGATTGTTCGTTCGCGATGGAAACGTTCGGGAACTCACAAATGATTCTGACTGTGTTGTGCCGTAGTGAAACGGGGTAAGTCAAGCGGTTAGCCGAGAATGCACCAACTCTAGCAGGTTCAAGACTGGGATTTGGTTGGACACTCAAAATAGTTACGCTGCGTGTCAAACCGGCGGGAGACGATGCACGACATTCATACGTAGATGAGTCATCTGGTCTAGCAGCATATATCAGTAATGTCCCAGTTGGGGTCATGACTATACGATCAACTGAGTTGCCGGCATCTGCCACCAAGTATGTTTCAGGATTATGCCGCATCCAGCGCACATCCGGGATGGGAGAACCAAGTGCTTTGCATGGGAGTTCTAAGCGTACGCCCTCCAAAGCAGTTACCGAATAAGGTGGAGTTTTCACTAGACCAGGAGGAGAAACGACATTAACTTGGGCGATAGCCTCAATAACTCCTGCAGAACTTATAGCACGACAGACGTAATCCCCGGCATCTTCTAATTGTACGCGATTAAACTGTAATGTTCCCCGTGATAACAAACGAGTTCGTTCGAAGGGGATCTCGAGAAACGGAGGATCGCGTCGCCACACAATCACGGGGAGAGGCTCACCAGCAGCGCTGCAACTGAGTTCAAACGAACTGTGAATAGGAACAGACTGGCTGAGTGGAGAAGACACAAAATAGGGACGTTGTCGAACAGTAAGGGTAGCTCCAGAACTTTGACGATGGAAAGCGAAAGATTCGGCAACACATGAGTAGAAGCCACTATCTTTCCAAATAATCCGATCAATTCTCAGATTTCCGTTTTCTAAAATTTGTGTTCTTTCGTCTGCTATAACTGTAATATTATCTTTTATCCATTTAACCGATGGCTTAGGCAAACCTTTTGGTGGCTTGCATTCAAGCAATACCGTTTCTCCAACACTGACTGTTTTATCTTGTGGCTCCAAGAGAAACTGTTCTTCCAAGAAGGCAATACGAACATCGGCTTTTTGGGACAGAAGCCAGCCATTATCATCTGTTGCGTTGCAATGATAATCACCCTCGTCACTTCGTGTCAGGTGGATTGCAAGGGAAGACAACAATGAACCGTCAGTCTGAAGCTCCGTACTAACTTTCCTCTCAGGAGGATTAGACTGAAGAAGTGATTTGCCTTTGAGCCACTGAATAGAAACATTTCCACTTCCATGCACATGACATCGGAGCACAATTTTTTGATTCTCCAAACCGAACGTACTTCCAGGATTTTCTATCACAATTATCTTTCCGATTACGAAGAACAACTGTAGAATGGCTATCGTAAGCCTCAACATTGAAGTAATATATGCTATCAAGACGCAAACCCGGAAATAGGAGCAAGTGTTCCAAGCAAGATCAAATCAATTGGAAGTATGGCCGTAAAATGGGCGAGTCTGTGCGTCGGATGCTACCAGGTAAGCAAATATGAACCAACAGCTATTCCAGTTATCCTGTAAGTGAGAATAGATGATGCAAGGTAAACAAAAAATACTTATCAAGCAGTGAATTATTGACCCCACAACGAGAAGTGCACTAAAAAGTTCAGAAAATAGTCAACTTTATTTACATTTAATTCAGTTACCTGTGAGTAATTGTATAGGATATTGATATTGATTTGAACTGACTATTCTTCAGATTTCAGCTTAACGCACAATCCTCAAGAGAGCGGAACTGGAGTCTAGTGCTTCCCGAGTGTATGGTTGACTGGAACAGTTAAGGATTGTGTGTGAAGTTGAAAGCTGAAGGATGGTCGGTTTAAATCAACATCAATTATCCTACACGCTTATTCAAAAGTAGTTGTGAGTAGGTTCGTGGCAAGCCAGCGCGTAACATGCATGGAAGACCTGATTTGGTTGGATGCTTTCGATTGGAGTAAAAAGGTAGTCAACTGACTCTCCCTTTGTTGTTGTCGGGCTAAAATGAACTGACTGACTACCACTGAAGAGGAGATCTCCGAAAGTTTCAGTATGGTCGGAGGTGAGTGTCTACGGTTGCGGCTGGTCACCCTCCCTTGCACCTCGCGAAATGCTCCCATACGATCAAGCGTCTGAAACAGCCTCCACTGAGGAAGCCCTACTCACTGCCTTCTCATGACGGAGGCGTTTTTCCACCAAAGTAAGAGGACGAAAAGCCGACATCCAGGGCTATAACTGGGTTGGTGGACCACTGGTAGTGCACCTGGGGGAGTTGGCCAGAAACCCTGATTCCAAACCAACCAACAGGGGCGTACAAACCACACACAACTTTCCGGTTGTGGCAGTGGTCACCGACTCGATTGGACACCTTGGACGTTTGACCCCGTCCGAAGGGCGTATGATTCGATGAACTGGACGCCGGCTCCCAATGGATTGCGGTTTTTGCACACCGTTCGCTGCTTTACGGGTCAGGCTTTGGTTAGCCGAAGGCTCCGGTTCTGGATTCCTTAGGAAAAGTCACCTGCTTTGGCCTGGGCAACCTGGCAGTATTCAGCCCACGTGAAAATCATGGAACGTTTTTCCTCTTTATAAAGATTATTGTACCATGATTTGCTTGACACAGTCTGGCCTCAGACAAGAGTGAAAATATAATAATACTAAAGACGACATCTGAACAAACATGAATTGGAAATTCGATTCAGCCCTGGTATGAGCTGGTTGGCACGGTGTTAACACACCTTCCATGCGATGGGTCCGGAGTTCAAAACCCGGACGAGATGGTGAATACGCAATACTGACGATTTATAATAAGGGCGAAACTCGAGTCTGAGCACGGCTGAGTGGAAGAAATGAGGATTGTGCGTGAAGGTGAAGTCTGAAGAATAGTCAGTTTAAATAAACTTAATTTCCCTCACTCCAGTATAAACTCCAGACGGTTCATCTTGTATGCTCCTTGATCTTCTCAGATGCATTCTTCCTCGACTGCTTGTTACGTGTCCTTTTATAGAACCAATCAAACTGTATCAAACAATTAGGGAGGAGGACTCTATTAAATAAACCGGAGTCAAGATAGTTATAACCGGCAAATTTAGAAGTAATTCATTGGGCCACTTCGGGCCTAAAACATTATGATCGAGTGGGTGTCGGATAAAAACAACTTCGTCACCGGTACCCTAAATGTCATTATTATCATTTTGTTTAACAAGCATTTGAGTAAAGATTGTACCAAACAAACCACACTACAATAATTATGGAAAGAAATCCGTCCATGGTTTGGTCATGAACGAAATACTACCAGGTTACCCAGACCAAAGCAGGTGATTTTTCTTTGTTAGGAGTGGACATAATCGGAGCCCTCAGCTAACCAAAGTCTGACCCGCAGGGCAGTAGAGAGTGAAAATCGTCATCTATATGAGCTGGTTTACAGTTAATAGAGCGGTGTTGGCTCGTGGTAACATCACCAAATTATCACCCCGGGTATGTGTTCCAGTCCCACCACCACCGCCTGACTTTCCCTTGGTGTGTTGAATGGCAGCCCCTTGATTGGCCGCTTCCCGCTTCCTGAAAATTCTATCCTTTACATTCAATAAAAGGAAGTAAAATGAAAAAGAAAGAAGAATCATAAACCCTTCGTTTAGGGTCAAAGGTTCAAGGTTCCCAAGAAACCTCGACGCCCAATCAAACCGGTAACCACTGCCACAACCAGTAAGGTGGGGATGTGGACCGCGTGTCTCTCCTACGTGGGTGTACCAGGGTTTTTGCCTTTTCCCTCAGGTGGCCCGGTTATAGCCACAAACGTTAACTTTAATGAGGGGAAATATATCCGCAAAGAGCGTAGGAAATTCTCAAAAGGGATTTTGAGATGCTTGGTTATATAGTTGCGTTTTTTGAGATGCGAAGGAAGAGTGATCAGTCAAAACCCAAGGCTATCGCTGCGGAAAATAACGACCTGCATTCGTTCCTTGATGGGGAAGTTCTAATAATTCCAATCCCATATGTGGGGTTCCAAGAACGTGCGATCTGTCCGATGTAACACCGGTCCTCGATGAATTGCGAACTAAAATCACCAACCTAATTATTTGTATATAAGATAACTCTGTCGAAAATGCGATGTGAGAACCCTGAAACTTCTGCGTTAATTACGCTATTAGCTAACAGAAATTCTCATGGACTCAAGATTATAAGAAATACTGCCGCCTTTCTTCGTCCTCAGAACCTTTCGACTTAGTACTACTGAAATTACATAAACGAATGCCCATTAAACAGGTAAAATTACCCCGCTGCTCGAAACCCTAACCACCGATGTGATTATAAAAAATGAACGTCTAAAGTGCTTCTGTTGGACGGTTAAAGTCCCTCGAATTTTATGCGAAATTCTGTGGTATCTGGTTATCAGTGTTGTGTTAATCTTCGCAGTATCCCTGTTGCCAAATTGAATTTTAGGTGGTGGTGGTGGCGCAGTGGTTTAGTCTGTCACCGGCGTACTTTGGACCCTATGGTCCGAGGTTCGACCCCCGCCACCGCCACTCGACTTTGGTGGTAGGCAGCTCTGCTGTCGTCCGGTTCAATATTATGTCTGACATATCGGGGCCTTATGTGGTTCGCCACTCCAAGTTCCGGGGCTTAGGTTGCCGATTTCAACCACAGAACAGCAGGTCCTCGTGACTATGGGGTTTACCCCGTCTGCGGTTCATCACACCTAGGTGTGTAATAAAAACAGTCGATCATGCTTAGTGGAACACCATGTCTGAAAAGTAAGAACACATCACGCAAGCAAACTCAGCGGGGCCTACGTGCGTACATCCCAAAAGTTTCCAGTATAAATTTGTTTACATCCCCAAAGGAGTAAGTTAATCTTAATAAACTGACAACGTACTGTTGGCTGAGAATGGAAATCCAGGTAAATGTCAGTTATTGACTAGGCCGTTCTCAGCTGCTTTTAGTGTCAACTCATGTTTGGGGTACGATTTAAGTATCCTGGTTTTCTCCATCGGAGCCCGGAGGCGATAAGATAAGCATGAATTGAAACGTCCGTAACATCAGTTATTTCGTCCTTACCCCTTTACACTTATTATTATTACCGTTACCAAAAAATACCACAATTTTATTGACACATCATAAAGAGATAGATTAATGTGAAACATATACGATATAAATCATCAAGTCTGAAGATTATCTTCGATTGTTTATACTATTCCATGAATAACTAACGATTTATTTTAAACCGGTTTCGCAACCAATATTTTTAAATTAGGTTTAACTTAAACCGATTTGATTAATTTCACTGAAAGGTTAAAACCATAAAAATGGATTTAACGCGTTTCATTAGGAACCTTGATTCCGTGAAACATTAGTACGATGTGAGCTACGGACTTCCGGTTTCAACAAGACACTAACAGGTTAAATTATTAATATGAAGAGAGGCGGTGTATCTTGAGGGCTAAACTGTGTCCGAGTGTCTCAGTCGATTTCGCGTTGGTACGAGGCCTCTAGCGGAATCACACATGGGTCAGCCCTATGCCCCACGTTAATGACCCCTGGTGTTTTTTTTTCTATCCGCATGCCTATTATACGTGGACGACTTCAGGGTATGGCGCGCAATGGCTTCCAACGACGATGTACACACTCTCCAGAAAGACCTGAAAGCTCTGGAGCATCGAGAAAAGTGCGTTTATGCGGGTGGGCCAGGCAGACAGCATGACTGAATATTTCATACACGGTAACCCTCTTCGCGAATTGACATACGAAAAGGATCTAGGTATGACTACAACCTCCGACCTAAAGACAACTAATATTGGGAGCCATAAGGCGGTCTTTCGGTGGATTAGCTCTGACTGTCTTTAAATATTTGTACGCCTCTCATGTGCACTTGAGTGTGAAATATGGAGGGTCGGCAACGATTTTATGCACTATCGCGGAGGTAGACAAGCTTAAACGGACACACAGGCCTCATCACATTAGTCCCATGCAATATATACATTGCGTGGGACCATCTACGAAGGATGCCTAAAAGCTACGGGTTAATCCCCAATGGCTTATAGATGAACGAGAATAAATATGATCTACAATAGATTCATAATCCAGGGAGACCTGAACTGAAGGCAATGGGCCCGCTTCGAGACTACCATCGTACGAGCTCATCCCTTGGGGGACATTAAATGGATCTGGCAAATCAGTACTCAGCTGGAGTTACACCCGTCCTGGAGGGGGAAAAGCATATGGAATATGCTTTCTTCTGATAAGCTGGGTCAGAACGACGACAAACTGTTCAAGCGACGGTTTGATTAATTTGTGTCCTGCCACCACCTGCTCAGGAAATCCTGAGGAGTTTGTGGCAGGACACGTACACCTAAGTCACGCCACTGGACGGCAGCGAGGGC